ACAAGTGTTTACCCACCGTTCAACCAGTGGATGAGCATTATGTCTTATTCCTCTACCACTGTTCAACCGGTGGCTGAGCATTAAGTCATTTTTCTCTACCACCGTTCAACCGGTGACTGAGCATTAAGTCATTTTTCTCTACCACCGTTCAACCGGTGACTGGGTATTACGTCATTTTTCTCTACCACCGTTCAACCGGTGGCTGGGTATTACGTCATTTTTCTCTACCACCGTTCAACCGGTGGCTAGGTATTACGTCATTTTTCTCTACCACCGTTCAACCGGTGGCTGAGCATTGTCATTTTTCTCTACCGTTCAACCGGTGATTGGGTATTACGTCATTTTTCTCTACCACCGTTCAACCGGTGGCTGGGTATTACGTCATTTTCTCTACCACCGTTCAACCGGTGGCTAGGTATTACGTCATTTTTCTCTGCCACCGTTCAACCGGTGGCTAGATATTACGTCATTTTTCTCTTCCACCGTTCAACCGGTGGCTGGGCATTACATCATTTTTCTCTAGCACCGGTAAATCGGTGGTCAGGGCTCAAAGGGTTAAGTATTTACAAAAATATTAAGCACAATTTATTTCATAGATTGTTTATTTACAAAAATAATTGTATATTTGCAACAATCTAAAAACTACAATTAATGCAATAGTTATAATTTACCAATTAATAAAGAAACAATTGTAAAATATATATTTATAAACATTTATTAAATTATTAAAATATGTGAACCAACTATGAAAAAATCCTGATTATTTACCATTTAATAAAATTTGAATCAATTGGCAGTTAGCAGATATATTTACATATATTATATATATTAAATATGTTATGAATAATCAAAAGTGGTCTCCCCTTGTTTTGTTACTACCCTTTTTGAGAGAGCTATTTACTGGGACTATAAAAGGACACTACACTCGAACCTTGTATTCTCAGTAGAATTAAGCTTTCTTAAAGCCTACACCCGCGTACTTTTGTCATTACAATATAATAAATAAACAGTGTAAATAAACAATGTAAAAAATAGATTGTGTTAATTATTCATGTTGTCAATTCTCATGAACAAAGAAAACGTATAAATTCACTTTCAAATATTTAGGTTTTATTATGATAATAATAATCATCTTTTTTAAAATAATAAATGTTGCTGAAGACTGAATGTAGTTTAAAAAAATCGGTGTCATGGGAAAACTGTCCTTTTGACATTCCGTCTTATTGCAAACACATTTATCCATGTCTGCCTAATCTTTTATTTAAATTCTTTGAATTTTATCCTATGTATTCCCTGTGGCAATTATTACAGGTGATTACGTCATCATTTTAGTCCAATGAAGTCCTAAAGAACGAAACACGTCACACGAAATATTTTTTTCATAGATTTCCCTAAAAGTTCTTGATATGTAAAATTTATATAACGTTTCCTCATATACAGGGCGCGGCAAAAGTAACGACATATTTTTTATTTATTGAATTATTATTGAATAAAAATAAATTACGGTAGAATTTATGTAAATTACAGAAAATTTATAAGTATTGTTATATCAAAGCAGCATGATTTGTTATGATTAACAAACTATTTAACATGTTCAAAATGCCCCCTTCATTATTTACATGATTCGGACTATTGTCCTCATCTTTTTTTTTTAAGCATTATGCCCCAAGCAAGGCGTGAAGCCATTAGGATGCAGGGGGTTGCAGAAGATTTGGAGCAAGAGCAGATAGGAGTGATAGAAGAAAGGATGAGGAGAGGGATAGTGGATAGATCAAAGTAACTGGAAGTGTCGATTGACATTACATTTAAATAGTTGGAGATTATAGCTCTCAGGGAAACAGTAATTGGGAAGGGTGTTTCACAGGCGAGAGGTGCGAGGTATGAAGCTATTGGAGTAGAAGCAACGGCTACATTTAAAAGTTTCTACAGTGTAAGGATGGGAGCGGGATGCCAGCCTCGTAGGGCGCTTGAATTCATGAAGTCTGGGAACCAGTGAAAGCAGCTCATCAGAGCAATTACCATGAAAGTATTTGTAGAAAAGACAGAGAGAGGCAACGGCGCGTCTGTGAGAGAGTGACTGTAGACGAGACGCCAGATCAGGGCCAATTATATTACATATCCGTCTCTGGATCTTGTCAAGAACTCCGAGGTAAACAGAAGGTGCCCCAGACCATATATGGCAGCAATACTCCATGCAAGGGCGAATGGTTGATTTGTATATTTGAAGTATCGATTCCGGGTAGAAAAATTTCCTGGCGCGGCACAGGGAGCCAACTTTCCTCGCGGTGGAAGAAGCAATTGACTCAAGGTATTTGTTCCATCTCAGGTCAGCAGTCAACGTGAGACCGAGCAGACGCAGGAAGTTGCTCTCAAAAAGTTGACTATCAGACATTCTAATGGGGGGCAGGGAAGGATCTCTGTGGTGATTAATAGAGAGTAGTATTTCGCTCGTTGTACGCTCCGGCCTTCTTCAGGTGATTGGAATGTCGAACTGAACCCTTTATTTCGCTCACTGGGGTAGACTGTTCTAGTTTCACGTGCCATGTTTAATGGATGTCAGGTGACAGTTATCTTCTGTTAATTTCCCTCTCCAAGTTCTCCACTGCCTTAACCGGGTATTGAATTCACACTCTTTGGGTCCTGTCACTGGATCTAACTAACGCCTTTATCCACTATGCCATGTGTCATCTCAGAAATATAGACAGATTCTCCCTTTCATGTTCAGTACAACGCTGAAACCCATTAGCAACACTTCTTACAAACCATTTGACACATTTCTACATAAATTTACCAGAATTTTTTTTTTTTTAAATTCAGGAATTGTTTTCAGTTTGAACCTATAAATAAGATCTTTCAGTATTCCCTACAAGAAAAAAACCTGCTGGTGTTAGTTCTGATGATCGTGATAGCCATTCAATTGCTCCACGTCGTCCTATCCACCTCAGTTCGAAATTAACATTTAACCATTCCCGAAGGCATAATCTAAATCTATCTGAAGCTACAGTAATTTATTTGTGTTCAATAAAAGTTAATTCATAAAAAAGGGCGTTACTTTTGACGTACTCTGAGTTCATGGAATGTTATTTTTTAATCTGACATATTTTTACTACTTCAGGCGTTATTTTTAGTCAATACACGTCTCGTCTTGTTTCATTTTTATTTTAAACAGCGTGCATTTCGTCTACTCACCAGCGTACTTGAGAAAACTTAATAAAGAGAAGTTACTCTATGAAACTGAGCAGATATGACAGGGTGATGTTGCTTTTAGGCAAATAGAACCATGTTTATCTGTGAGTTGCTCCGTAGCTGAATGGTCTAAAGCCCATCGGATCAGCCAGTAGTCTCTCCGACGAAAGGGGACGCAAGTTCGAATCTTGCCGGAGGGCACATTTTCTCAAATACGCAGGCCCGTAGACGAAATAAACATTGTTTAAAAAAAGAACGGACGTTCTATTCAAATAACAATATCTGTAGAAATTAAACTCTATTTCCAACACAGTTACATAGACGCGTTCATACTGTATTAAAAACATGCCCAATTTCTAAATTACAGCCATTTTCTAAAGTACCAAATAACAGGCAATATTATAAACATTCCAAAAAGATTCCACAATACAATATTCACCGTTTAAATCAAAGTGTCTATTGGTTAGAAATTAACATCACCATATGAAATATTTGACCAATCAGAGTAAACTAAAACGCTATTTTTCTTGCGTCTGCTTTCGGGAAAAATGTATTATAAAACCCCACAGATTTCGACTTTCTGAAGCAGAAATGCAGCAATTTCAGAGCTGTTCAAATACAAGAGAAGGCGTGGCTACATGACTTTTATTTCCCCCTCTCCCAGCATGTGATGAAAAAAGCATGTCAGCGACTTCAAACGAATCATTTCCAGCAATAACAGCAGGGATGGTCAGTGAATCTTCACTGACGATCAAACAGCAGCTTGTCTGTACACCAAATACTGAAAAGATTTTTTTTTCTCAAACACAGCTTTGACTGTGGAGCAACTACTCAAAATTTATTTTTCAACCCTAGTTTTTTACTGAAGCCTATCTAATAAAAGTAATTTCTAAATTATAACTTTGTCTGTGGCTCAACCAACCAAAGACTTTAACTCAACTAAACACTATGTTTACTGTATGTGTCACTTTTGAATTTATGCACGTATGTTTGTAAATTCAAATGATTTAATTAAAAGGGATTAGCTATATTTTCTTCATTCTTATTTTATTATTGTTTGGAATTTGGGTTCTCGAATTTTTAATATAAAATAAGCTGGACGGCCGAATTACCAATATATCCACAAAAAATAACGTTTTTATATATATATATATATATATATATATATATATATATATATATATATATATATATGAATGTATAAGATGACAATTGGAAAAAATCTTGTTTTTTTTCTTGCCGACGCGTTCGTCTTCCGACTTTTTCAAGGCAAAAATGAATTCGAAATGTTTTTGTTGTTATAGCTACATTACAAAATCTAAATTTTTTTAAAAAAATGAGAAGCTTCTGCTCTTCTCTTTTTTTTTTTTTTGGATTTTGCAATGTAACTATAACAACAAAATTCATTTTTTGCTTTGAAAAAGTCGGGAGACGAAACGCGTTGGCAAAAAAACTATGATTTTCTTTTCAATTGTCGTTTTATACCAATTTGTCTTGTCCACAGAATTGATCTGGGAAAAAAATATCTTTTTATATATATATATATATATATATATATATATATATATATATATATATATATTTGAAGTATATATATATATGTGTGTTTGTGTGTGTGTGTGTATATATATATATATATATATATATATATATATATATATATATATATATACACAATATGAAATGGACGAAGACCGACAATTATTTAATATATTTTGTTTGGCACTAGGCTATTTTAGTACTGTCCCTCATCCCACCATGTTCGGCCGTAGGGAAGCTTGCTTTGCCACTCCTTCCCTAAACTTTCGTCTAAGTGGCCACGCGACAAAGAATATCGCCGCCCGGTCATCCTTGTATATATCACTTTGAATTTAATTCTCTCTTTTCTCTCTGCCCCTCTCTCTTTTCTCTCTGTCCTTCTCTCTTTTCTCTCTGTCCCTCTCTCTTTTCTCTCTGTCCCTCTCTCTTTTCTCTCTGTCCCTCTCCCTTTCCCTCGTTACTAACGTTTCCTTCCTTTTTATTTTTTTTTTTTTTTTTGCATTGAATTTATTTTACCTTCTTTTTCCCTCTTTGAAAACAATGAATATTGTCTTTGGCAATTTTTCGGGTTCTTACAAGCATTGGACGTTATTTTTTTTTTTTACTCGTGGCTCACAGGCGTGGAGGGATTCTCTTCTAGAATTGAATGTTGGATTTTGTTATATAGGAATAAAGTGTCGCTGCCGACACTTGGGTTTGAACATAGATCGCCAGTGAGCAAACACAGGCGATTCCATTATTGAATTAAGTGGACCACGTGATCATAGAAGAAACACAAATATGGGAGGGTGCGGATGCTTAACTGATCGCTATTTCTGGTCTATCCTCTATACTATACAGATCACTATTTCTCCTCTATCCGCTATTACTATACGGACCGCTATTCTCTATTCTCTTCTCTACTCTACACTATTCTCTATTCGGACCAATATGGTAGTTACTATTCGAGCAAGTATTATCGAGAAGTGCTATCAGTGCGAGTGCTATTCAAAGGCGTCTGACACTAGCATTGTTCAACGGCGTACTATAATTGTATTTGCGATAACAAAGTCTCTACTACAATGAGCATTACGACTCGTATGCTTCTTCTCTATCCATCTATAACGATCCATACGGATGTAGTGAATGCTCAGGCATCTCCCTTTACCCCAGCTCCTAATGTGTCTTTTAGACCACCATGCCCGTTATTGGCTTTGTTTTCCTCTGTTGTTTGTTTTTGTCTGTGTGTGTGTTAATTTTTTAAAAATTTAATAGGAGTAGATAGGCTTTTCTATCACCCGGTTAATACTCCTCCTCCTTCTTTTGAACAGAAGTAGAGGCACATCCCTTGTTTCCTGTTTGGGAAGGGGTTCTTGGATCGTTTCCTTTTCTCTGGCTTTAGAAGTAGCGATGTCGTTAATCTCTTGTGATGTATGCTGTTTGTGGTAACGTTTCTTCATGCTGAAGATACCGGTTTAACAGTTTTCTGACTGCTGCAGTTAGGAGTCTGAACTTTTGCGTAGCGTCTTGAGAGGCTGCTCTGATAACAATTGCATAATATCGGGGTTCTTGCAGTGCCATGTCCACATGGATGGGTGTCCGTGCATGCACCTCCTGTGGGCAACCCGGAGACCACATTCTGTTGCAGTCTGCGCCAGTTCCTTTCTGTTCATGCCGCATCTGCTTCGATTACTTTAGGCCTTCTCCTTATCAACGTAACTCATTATGACCATAAGCAACCAAAGATATAAACCTAAACCAGCTCAAAATATCACCTAAACCCTTTCAAATTTCCTTCTCCAACATTCGTACCAACTTCTGCAGTGTGGAATCGTTGCTCTTTGACAAGTCGCCTGATATACTAGTTCTCTGCGAGACTAACATTAACACGTCAATCCCTTCTTCTGGTTTCTCGATTCCTGGCTACCTCCACATGCATGACCTGGGAGTTTGTATCTGCGAACATCTCCCGCTGGCTATAGAACTCTCTTTGGAATCTCCAGACCATTCGTAAATATGTCTCCGTCTATCTTTCCTCAGTTCAGTAAGCTATCTCTTCTTTTTCTACCGTTACCTTTCCTCTCAAGACTGTTGTGTACCCAATAGCATTTCTGATAATATAGACAAAGTCATCTCTCTGCATCCGTTTGTAAACATATTCGTGTTCGGTGACTTTAACGCTCACTATACTATCTGGATTAAAAACTCTGTAACTGACCTCGCTGGCATCCAAACTCTTAACTTTTCAATCACTCAATCCCTCATACAAGTGGTTGACTTTCCTATGCGTTTCCCCAGTAACCCGGACGGTAACGCATCCCTTATCGACCTCTGTTTTGCCTTCATCCCTGATTCTTGTCGTGTTACGCCCCTCTGCCCTCTTGGTAACTCTGATCACGAGCTGGTGTCTGTTAACATCTCCTTCAACCCCTCCTCCTACTAACAGATCTTTCTGTTATCAACGCGCATACTGGCACTCATTCCGTGACTTCCTTCGGGACGTCCCTCGGAATGTGGTTTTTAATCATCCCGTACAAAAATGTGCGTCTGAGGTCTCCTCCTGGGTAAAAGCCGGCATCGAGGCTTGCATCCCAGCAAGAAAATACCAAGTTAAATCGCGCTCATTTTCTTGGTTCTCACCTGCCACTATATCCCATAGGAATGGCTTCTTCCGTCTGTACCGGAGCGATATGCCTGATTGCAACAGACGTCGCGTTGTCTTTGCTCGTAATGAGTGCATGCGTGTCCTCAGTTAAGCTTGGTTTTAAAGATTATTGGCGGCTCTGCAAGAGCGTGGTGAACAACAACAAATTCTCAATCCCTGCTCAATTCAATCAATTCGAAGTCCTGACATCTTTAACTGATGAAGCTTTGCTCAGAAATTTTCATCCAACTCAACATACGACTCATCTGATTTTCCTCCTAGAACTGAGGCTCTACTGAGTGAGATGTGCATAACCCCGTCGATGGTATTAGACATCATGTTTAAATTAGACTTTCATAAAGCAAATGGCGGTGAAAGGATACCAGCCGTAGTCCTAACGAAATGTGCCCTGAGCTGGCTCCAGTTCTCTCCAACCTATACAACTATTACCTCGGCGATTCTTGCTTTCCAGCCTGTTGGAAGGCCTCTTCTGTCGTCCTGGTCTTTAAGAACTCTAGAGACCTTTCTGACCCATCTAACTACCATCTCATCAGTCTCCTGTCACTCTTTGGTAACGTTTTCGAGGCTTTAATCAATGCCGAAGTAGTTAAGTATCTCACCTCCTACGATCTACTCTCTGACGAACAATATAGTTTCCGCTTTTCCAGGTCTACTGCTGATGTGCTTACGGCCATAACTGAATATGTATACCAAGCTCTTGATAATAACGGCGAAACACGAAGTGCTGCTCTAGATACATCGAAGGCGTTTGACAGGCTGACCTCCTACGTAAACTTAAGGGATATGGTATTACAAGATGTTTATTTAATTTAATCCAATTATTCCTGTCTAAACGTGAAATGAAGGTTGTCCTGAACGGGTTGTCTTCCAGTTCCTTCAATACGAATGCTGGTGTTCGTCAATGCTGTATCCTTGTTCCTACACTGTTTCTGATCTTCATCAATGATCTTCATGACGTCATCAGTTCTCATTCTTGTACGACACTACCATTTACTCCTGTCTCAATAGTCCGGCATTGTAACAAAGTTAACCTGGCCGTCGGTTTCGAAAAGTATCTCCAATCTGTGGTTGACTAGTGCAGGAAATGGCTTGTGAATTTTAATGCATCTAAAACAAAACTGCTCTTAATTACTCGTCATAGAGAAAATTCCCTGCCTCCTATCAGCATGGTTAATGCTCGACTCCACGACTTGGTTTCACGTTTTCCACTGAACTGAGGTGGAACAACTACATTGAATCAATAGCTACATCTACCGCAAGGAAAGTTGATTCTCTGTGTTGCACCAAAAAGTTTTTTCGTCTGAGTTCATCCTTCACATCTTTAAATCAACCATTCGTCCTGCATTGAATACTGTTGCCATTTGGTTTCCCCCCCGCTGTTCATCTCGAGATTCTCGACAAAATCTAAAGACGGATGCGCAATTCGGTTTTTTCGACTCCAGTCACTTTCCCACCTACATAATGTGGCTTCCCTCCGTCGTTCCTATAAATATTTTCATGGCATGTGCTCTGACGAGCTACTTTCACAGGTTCTCCAACTGCATGAATTTAAGCGTGCTAATAGATTGGCATCTCAGTCCCACTTTTTACTGTCGAAACAGTTAAATGTAACCGCCTCTTCTTTCCAACAGCTTTTCTCTCGCACTTCCCGACAGTGGAACTCCCTTCCTTCATTCCCTTATAACTATAATCTTCAAAATGTAAATGTAATGTCAATCGACATCTTCTGATACCTTCCCCGTTCTTCTTTTTATCCTCCTTCGTTTTCTTTTTCGTCTTCCATCAACCCCTCTATACACAGTTTTTTCCCTCATCTACACTGTCCGTAGCCCCTTGCATACTAGTTGTACTCTCGCCTTGTTTGAGGTGAAATGCTTGAGAAAAATTTGAAAATAAACGAAAAATGCTTTAGGAATTAACCAGTAGCATAAAACAGAAGAATCCATAGAATGGTTTATTAATATAAAAAGAAAGAATGTATGTTTATCCAATTCGATATTTGTGACTTTTACCTGTCCATCACCAAGAATCTGCTGATGTCTGCTATTAAATTAGCAAAAATGGCTGTCCTATCGCAGAATCAAAATCATAAAGCGGGCACAAAAACCTATATTATTCCATAATGGTTATCTGTGGAAAGAAATAACACTGACTATAACATTGCTATGCAAGCATATGATTCAGTAGAGGCATGTGAAATTGTTGGCATCTTGTTATTTTTTATATTAAGGACATCGGACTCTATAGAGATGATGCTGTAATTCTCCTCCGTAAAACAAGCCCAAGAAATACAGACCGATTGAGAAAGGAACTGATAAAATGTTTCAAAGATCACGAGCTAAATATTACCACTATCACCAATGCTAAAATGATCAACTTTCTCGGTGGGACCTTGTAATTGAATACTGTTTATTACAAACCATATACCAAAAATCTATATAACCATAGATACGTCAGTAAAGATTCAAACCACCCTCATAACATTCTAGGTAATTTACATAAATCAATCCAAGCTAGATTATCTACTGACTCCAGCAATAAGGAAATATTTGATAATAATAATAAAATGGGAAATTAATTTGATTTATGCCTTCCTGAAAAATTAGTTATCTTAAAACACTTACATAAACCTAGCTTATTAAACAAGAGAAATAAATCGATGGTTACATGTAGGCATAAAAACAAATATCTACTGAAATACGTTGATCCAGATTAATTTTTAATGCATTGTAAATTATGGTTTGTTCTTTATTTTTGTAAAAAAGAAAAATGTGCTTAAATAAAAAAAATTTAAAATTATTACGATTCGCAACACTAAACTAAATGTTTTTGTTGTTATTTACACACACACACATACACACACACACACACACATATATATATATATAAATCCTGTTTATTTTAAATGCCAAATATATATTTAAAATAAAAAAAATGTAGTCCACGTCAATATATGCTACATATATTATTACTTTTAAATTATGTAACGGTCGTTTTATACTCAATAATTGAAGATTGTGTTGTGCATGAATAAATATGAATAAATGGATAAATATCGGTAAATGTATGAGCGAGCGTTCTTATACGAGTACACACACACACACATATATATATATATATATATGTATGTACATGTAACCCGTATATAAGAGAAACCCGGATATAAGAGAGATTTTCAGGTCCCAAAGTGTTACCATACTTACCTAAACAAAATAGACCAAACCCGATACCCGGATATAAGAGACTTTTCTCCGGTCCCGACAACTCTCTTATATCCGGGTTATATATATATATATATATATGTTAAATATATATATTAAGAAATATACATAATATAATGTAAGATATTATGTATATTTCTTAATATATATGTGTGTGTGTGTGTGCGTGCGTGTGTGTCTGTGTGGAGTGTTTTGTGTAGATTTAATATCTAAATTGAAGCCCGAAGAGAAAGATTTTAAAGTCGGAATTTTCTGACACGGCTGTGTCCTTTTTTCAACGAGTCGAGGAATAAACAAAAGAATTTTCAATCATATATATATATATATATATATATGTGTGTGTGTGTGTGTGTGTGTGTGTGTGTGTGTTTGGATATAAGCAGTTATATTGAAGAAATGAATATTTCTCATATTTGATCAATTCTAATTCATTGAACAGATTTTTATCACGTGTCTCCGTGACGATTTCCTGCTGATCAGCGTGAACACTTACTGGATACTTTACCCTTCCCAGTATTGATTTTGGATTCAACCAGCGCATTGATTTCAATATAACGAAGGAAAAGGTTTCTATTGTGGTCCGCATAGATTTCTATTTTAATGATGTTTTAATCAGGCTGGCTGGTTGGCAGGCTGACTGGTAAGATATGAAAAGCAAAGGAGAAAGAAATGTCTATTCTGGCACCTGTTGGGAAACCGTCAATTTTTATAAGCTGTGATGCGGGAGTCCTTATCGTCCCTAAAGAAAATATGTGAATGCATGTTCTTCCTGAAGCAAGTAAATAAATAAATAAACCTTACATGTCCAGCTATGATCCCCGCCTATTTGTGTGCGTGAGATAAAATGTGCAAATGATTATCTTGTCTCTTTCTCTGCTACGACTCAACAAAGATGGTCTATATTCAACTAAGCCGCAATAAACGGTGTGGAGGTGATTGTGTACAGAATGGAAATAGTTATAATATTCTATCAACTGCATGAAACTTGGTAGTGGTGGTGAAGGTAAGGAGAGGTATCAGTAGTATTTTGTAGACACTGTAAGTCCCTAACAAAAAAACGACTGTTTAGACTACGTTTGACTGTCCGGAAAAAGTCTTACTTTCAATCTCTGGCCTTTCCTTGTTTCTTTCTTTCTTTCTTTCTTTCTTTCTAACTAACTAACTAACTAACTCCACGCGTTCTTCTCTTTCTAAAAGTTACTATTTCTTTCTCTTTCCTAATTTTCTCGCCTCATTTTCTCCTTTTCTCACTCATTGATCTATTTCTTTTTTTTATATCTTTCTGCCCCTCATTTTTTATTACCTTCTCTTTCTTTTTTTGTTCATGGCCCGTTCGCACTTTCCTTCTTTCCTTTCCATTTTCAACTCTCATCTTTCCTTCATTCGTTATAATTATTTTCTTTTGCTTTCTTTCTTATTTTTATTTGTTTTCTTTTCCTCTCTGTCTTCATATGCTCCTTCCTTCTCCTTTTCCTCCCTTCCTTCCCTCCTATTAGTATTTTCTTCTTCTCTTTTCCTCTCTGCTATCATCTAATCTTGCTATTTTCGTTTTATTATTTAGTTTTCCATCCTTTTCTCTTCTTGCCTCTAGACTATCATATATTCCTTCCTTCCTTCCTTCCTTCCTTCCTTCCTTCCTTCCTTCCTTTCTAAATTCCTTTTTACCAATTATATACCACAAAGTCAAATATTAAAAGAAAAAAGTTTCACGCGGGCATTTATAAATTTATCTATCGCCCGCCGGATTTCTCCAACCTCAAGGTGACAAAATACGTAAATAAATAAATAAAAAAGAGAATGAAGAATTACATTTTGGACGTTGGCTTGATGAATGTAAAAGAAGAATGATCTAGGATAGTGAAGGTTTTGTTTTAGCACGGTCTGGAATCAGAGGAATTATGGTCTCCAAGAGTCGAAATCTTATGAATCCGGAAACTCTAGAAATGGCTTCAACAAGAAATGTTTTTCGACCGAACAAGTAAGTAAATTCTCTTTGAATTTCTTATCAGTATATTCGGCTTACATCTCTCTCTATTTTTTTTCTCTCTTTTATATATATATATATATATATATATATATATATATATATATATATATATATATAGTAAATTGCTGATACCCACTGAAGAGTGGAGGCACATCTGTCTAAATCTGAGTCAGGATGCTGAAGATTCAGCAAAGGAACCAACTTTTAATCACATTATATATATATATATATATATATATATATATATATATATCATTAAATACGGCAGATGAGGAAGATTTAATTAACTTTTTTTAATTTTTTTCCAGCATCCTTATATTTTTCCGTTTTGTAGGAGTAAGAGAGTACAGAAATTTTCCATAATTTTCATTGTTCCAGGCGTTTTCACCCACTTCTTTAGCCATTTTCAAAGACGTTTTGTTCTTGATGTTGTTTGTTTTCCTCATGATTTGACAGTGTAAGTTGTATTTTATTTTTGCGTTATTTTGATTATGAAATTTTCATTCTGACCCTTCATGTGTTTAACACTTCATTTCCACTGTTAAATAAAGCGAGCTTAATAGTAGGAGAGATGTTTAATACACAGAGCCTCTCTAATAGCGAGATGTTTCCGGTAATGTGATTTATATAGAATTATAGTGCTTTCAACCAGAATTTTCCTTAAGGGTTCTTGTACATTGTAGGTTGATAGATGTCTTTTATATAGCACTTTGATCTGTTAAGTGGCACGTGGGATGTCTACTCAAGGAGGTGGTAGTATCTAAAAGCCCGTATCTACGAAAATAATTTACGTTTAGACATCATTCAAACTCGCTGGTAATACACAGGAACAAAACTGGCCATAATTTTGATTTTACTAATGCCACCCAAATTAAAAAAAGAACATTATTCTTTACGTAGAAAATACATCGACGGCCAACTAACAATATTACCAACTATAAACACGCTTCAAAAACCTAATATTACATCACCGACCTTTATTGAATGGATTCTTAATGAATCTAACGTATATTTATCTAAAACAAACAGTATGTACGTAAAACATACCCAAATCAACATGCGAAAAACCAACAAACATAATGTCTACTAGATATATATATACACACACACATACATGCACACAATTACGAATACACATTATCATCTGAATCTCACAGAGACGAAACCAGAATTTTTATACACTTACATATATAAAGCAATATTGACAGGTTTTCAGTTAGGCTTGGAATCTGTTTATTTCTCTTGTTAACTTGATATGGACATGTCGTTTCTCCTTGAATTCGGAATGCCGCAAATTATACTAACGTCGCTTTAAAAATTCGAATGCACGTGAAACATGATTAACCAATGAAAATCAAACAACACAAAAGAAAAAATAGCAGAATTTCTTTCTTCTTTTTCTCCATATCTCATTCTCTCATGAAGCGTTAGTAAAAGTGAGATTGATAAACTGTTGTAACCTATATATATAATATATGTAATATATATATATATGTATGTATGTGTGTATGTGTGTCTGTGTGTGTGCGTATTTGTGTGTGTGCGTGTGTGAAAACTTAAAATTTTCAGTTTGGCCGTTTATATGACATCACCTTGAGTGGACTTGAAAGTGGTTTCATCAAAGTTTGTTTTTTTTGTTGTTGTTTGTTTGATTTTGTTTAGCGGTATATCAACATCTCTATGGGTTATTTAATTTCGGAATCTAAATATTTTGAACACAATTTTATTACTTCACCTACAGATAAAATATATAGCTGGTCTTTTTAATATAAAAATATACTGGTGGTAATTTTACTATAAATATGTATTGTTGATAATTTCTTTTATGTAAAAATATATTGCTGGTATTTTTACGATAAAAATGTATTCTTATACTTTCATAGTGTTTTCATTTTGTTTGGGGGTTCACTATTTGCCCACAGCTTGGACCCTAACAGATTGTTACCACCTCAGGTTAGCAATAATTATGAGGTGCTTCGACGCTCCTCAAAACCTCTAATCAGAGTCCCTGCTACTGGATGTAGTTTACCGTCATACCCATTACTATACATCAAAATTAAAATAGATATGAACTTTGGCAACTTTACCGATAACACAAAACAACTGTTTCGAAAATTTGATAAAAAAAGTAATAGACAGAACTTGCCCATATTATTTAATTAAACATGTTTGGATATATATATATATATATATATATATATATATATATATATATATATATACTACAATTCAAATATTTAAAGCCAGCACCAGAGTCAACTTGGGATGAACTTGACAGAAGAGTGAAAAAAAAAGAAAAAGAAATGAAAGTGTCATTGAAAAAAATAATCAATTATCAAAATTATACTTTGAGAAACTCTTGCTACGAATGGCAAAAATTTGTGCTGCAGTAATCAAGACTAAAAGAGGATATTTTGACGAGAGTAAAATTTAATCATAAAATGCTTTTTTACTTTTTGTCATATTAAAATTTTTAATAAAAACATATCACATTTTTTTTAAACATGTCTAAAAAATTTGCCTTTAAAGAACTAAACAACTTCTTTTTGTACCAATTTGAAAAATTACCAGGGGTGGCCTCAAACTTTTGAACTGTAGTATATATATATATATATATCTTACTTATTATAAAACGCAGATTGTGTGTGTGTGTGTCTGTACGTTTATATATTGGATCGGATTTCCTACATTTTTTAACCGATTTCAACAAAACTTCACAGGACTATGTAAAATTACCTTGCGGTGGTTCTTACAGCGCCAAAAATTGGAAAAACACAATTGTTTTTGCACGAAATCATTTTGAAAACACGATTAAGAGGCATCGCTATCGCAAGAATGAAAGAGGGACAACTCATATCGAGTTATACTTATTATAAAACCCAGGTTGTGTGTGTGTGTGTGTGTGTGTTCGTTTATATATGGGATCGGATTTCCTACATTTTTCAACCGATTTCAACAAAACTTCACTTTTTTGGCAGGTAGTGTTTCTTATTGTCTTGCACACTTTTTTCTTTATTTTTACATTCAGACTGCTTTAAAAATTCCAATTACAAGACAATTGTTTATAATAAAATTCTACTCAATCGGTAGACTCATAACTATTGAAAACAATGTTTTTGTTTGAGTTTGGGTTTGACCAATTCGTAAAAAAAAAAAAAATACTAATTAAGACATGCGTGTCCGTCAACCTTAAACAATAATCTTTGTCAATTTTATTTTTCAGTCTTTATGATGGTCGATACTTGATCTATCTCTTGTTACATCCCCGGGCAACGCCGGGCTCTACTACTAGTATATATATATATATATATATATATATATATATATATATATATATATATATGAAGAAATATAGTTTTGGGGTGTGTATATATATATATATATGTGGGATAAAGTGCTCAATATCAGAGATATAGCGTATGTAAATATAAATATAAAAGTGAACATTGAAGTCAACACTCAGAGGCGACAGGCTGTTTCATGCTAGACGCAATCGTCTGGCGGTTGACTTCAATGTTCACTTTTATATATATATATATATATATATATATATATATATGTATGTATGTGTGTGTGTGTGTGTGTGTGTGTGTGTGTGTGTGATAAAATATAGTTTTAAGATATACTATATTTATGGATAAAATTGTTCAATAGAAGAGATAGAGCATATATAAATATAGATATGAAAGTGGACACTGAGGTCAACACCAAGTGGCGACAGTCTGTTTCATACTTGAACGCAAACTTCAACTCATTTGTATTGTGTTTTAACAATAAATCTAAAAGCTGTAAACTCCGTCTGGAGGAGAAAAAAAGCTATAATTCCCTTCCCAGACCAATGCAAATGACTAAATAAACGATCAGAACTTATCTCAAAATGCAGACATAAAAATTCTGTTCTTCATCTGTGAGGAAATTGTTTAGCATTCACTGTTATATGCGAAGGTTGTTATTATATAACAGATCACTCTGTCTCTTATATTACGTAATATTCTCGCAAATGTACTGCTTGAAGCAATTAGTTCTACAGAAGGATGTTGAGAATATCGTGGACTGAATATGTGAGCAAATGGAAGCAAAAAAGACACATACTTAGAATCGGAAAGAGAAATTTTAAATTTCTGGGGCACATAATGAGGGAAGAAGGTTTGAAAAATTTGATACTCACATGACACACTGAAGGCAAAGCTAAACGACGTTTGGGCAAATGGATGACAGAACAGAGTGGGAAGAGATAGCAAAAAGACAAACATCACAAAAGACAGGAAGTTGTGGAGAGCCACGAACGCCTTGTTTTTAATCACATATCTCATCGGGGCGTAGGTGATCAGGATTTATTTATTGGGAATCGCCATGATTCTTTTTACTGTTATCCGCCAAATACAAGGTTCAAGAACTACTTAACGTAGAGAGTTATTAATGTGGTCGTTGTACATAGATAATAGTTGATCTTAGACTTAAAAGAGTTTAAGATTGTAGTGATCGGGGAAGCACGCTGCTTCACAAAGT